CGGTTCAGCTGCAAGTCTGGGAATAAGAAGATCTGAATTTTATAGTTAAGTTCTGACTTCAGATTTCCAGGTCTATGTGACCTTGACAAGTCACCCAACTTCTTAAGCATGTGTTTCCTTATCTGCAAAACTGAGAATTAACCTTAATGTGTAAAGATTGATTAGCTGATGTTTGTGAACACTTGGAGAGTCCAAGAAGATGCTACTTTTGTATGTGGCATGTTAACCTGGCAATTTGGGTGGAGGTAATACACCATCTGTTTATGGAAAAATGAAAAATCAGCTTTCAAAAAATAAAATCTTGCCGTTCCTGACAAGGAAAATGGATGCTGGTTTTATTTTATATGTAGCTGCACAAATGTCTTGCTTAAAAGGATCACATTTCTTTTCCCCATTTCCAGGAATAAAACTTGGGAAAATAAATGATGCAGTTATGCAGAAAAGAAAGGATGCAATTAAACACACTGTTAAGGCTAAAAAATTGAATCTATATCATTATCTTTTCTCATGTTTTGCAGTTTTGTTGAGATTGTATTCCAAGCGTTGAGCCTTGCAGAGCTTACAATGAGAAAATAGGGGGGAGCAAAAGACTGAACTGTTTCTTATGGATAATCTTAAAATACACTTAATTTTAAGGTTGTCTGTAGATGTTTAAAACCTATGAGTGTGTGTGATGTTGATGGCGCAGATTAATCAGCCAAAGTAAATGTCAGCATTATGAGTCAATTAGGTCAGATAACCACTGTGCCTTATGTCAGTCAATTACAAAGCATATTTTTAATAACAGAAGACCCTTCTGCACTTCCAGTAACAAAAAAATGTTCATGTGTGGGGCACTGTATCTGTTTACCTTTTTAGAGCAATATTAGTCATGACTGTCTGAGTATATGTTAACAGGCCAGCAGTTTGATTAAATGAGGCCGGGAATGCATCCACAAAATGAACAGCAGACAATCTGAGCTAAGCTTTATTCTTATATCCTAATTTTCTAAAGTAATAATGTAGTTTCAGTCATTTCATTAACTGGTAAATAATGATTTTAGCATTCTTGTTTTCTTACATTGCTGCAGTAAAGTGAACAATTCTCAAATATAAAAGCTGCAGCTTAATGCAACTTTAATTAATCAAAATTGAGTGCAGGCACTTGCTCTTCTCAGCATCTTGTATGGCACCGCAGCTGTTCGAGGCATCTTTTGATTGGTGTCTGTGCCAAAAGATCCTTGTGTTTGTACTGATAATAAGAGAATCATTGCTTTGACTTCCCCTATTCAGACATCGTCTACAAATATTGTTTAAAAAATTTAGGAGATCTTAAAACATTGCTTTTCCAAGCTGGTAGGCCTAAATCTCAATTAATGAGAGTTACATAAAGAATTAAGCCAAGTACAGACCTCTGTGCAGATGACTGAATCAGACAATGGCAAGAAATGTAGCTTGAAGGAATTTGGGTCATCTCCAGGCACGTTCTTGGTGTTGAAGAAGGAACTGTAAGTGTGGTTTTGTTGGTATGTTTTAGCAAAGTTGTGTACGGTCATCTTGGTACAGTTCGTATCAGGGATGATTTTGTAACCTGTTTCCTAACAGATCTAGAAGAAACTTGATGTATTCCCTGCTTTCCTTCTAGCAGTTTAGAAATAGCCAGTGTTTTAACCCTAAATTTGAGGATGGAGCATGATACTGCTAATACTAAAGCCATCTTCAGCATGTTGCAAATGGTGGGGGTTTTTTTCTCCCTTTTTAGCTCTAATGGATTATCCTGTTTGTGTTGCTGCTGCTTTCAGAAAGTGCTTTCTGCAGGTTCATATGAAATAAATAAAAAACCCCAAACGAACCCAACTTTGTCCCAGAGATTACATCTGTATGGATGTTGGAAGGTGGAAAAAAGTGTTGTGCTTAGCTATGCCTTGATAACAAGGGGGAAAGTTCTAGCAAGAATCATTTGTCTTGGGCGTCTTTTCAAGCCTCATGTGTTTTTAATTGTGGGTTACAGTCTAAAGAGCCCATTTCAACATACCTTGCATATACTATGACACTTGAAAAGCTGACAACCCTGCCTACTCACTGCAGCTATGAAGAACAGGCTTTGAAGTGTTTGTTTTAGTACTTTGAGATTTATGTCTTGAATTCCAGAGATTTTTTTGCAAATGAAAATGTCAATACCTTATCTTGGGGTAGCAAGCTAATACTAATGTGGTATGTTTCCACATTTCTGGGGAGAAGTGAATGCTTCCAGTAGCACTGAGCTGCATATTTTTCTGCACTGAAATAAAATGAGCAATTCTTGTATTGGTGGTTGTTTCTGGTGCTGTTTGTCTTTGACTGCCTCTGTTCCCAGCAAGCATGGCTTGCCTCACTGATACAAGTAAATACATAATGAGTGAAGAGCCATGCCCCTCAAGCAAACAGACTCTGCTAGCTCCATGCGGGGTCAGACCAAGTGTGTCT